ATCTCCTCCATCCGACCTGGGAGCAATCCAACCTCGCGCCCAACCGCCAAGCTGGTGGTCATATCGAAGCAGGCACCGCCTTGTCTTTCTCATCCCACGACGACCAAGACACCGATGCGCAGCAGCGTCCCGACAAACTGCTGCCAGGCATCGGCAGAGGCCTCCCCACCAAGCGCTCCCTCACCTTCAGCCGCGAACCCAGCTCAGCTCACCCACCTCGCCAGGCCACCGGCTCGCATCTCCCTCGCGCCGTCGACCATCCCCGCGAATACTCGCGCCAAACCCGCATCAGCAGAGCTTCCACCGCGGGCACTTTCAACACCGTCGGCACCATCGCCACCGAAGGCAGCTTCGGCGCCACCGCCGGCAACAACTCTACCCTCGCCCGCAAGTTCTTCGCCGGGGGAAGCTTCCGCCGCGTCTCGAAGCGCGGCAGTCTGCGCCGCAAGCTTGGGCCTGTTCGCACCAACTCGGTGCGCGACACGCGCGAAACTGATTCGCCTTCGCCTGTGCGGACGCGCAAGCGTGTATCGCCCTTTGCCGTGCGTGCACGCAAACCGGCGAGGTCAACCAGCTATGCATCGATGCACCGCGACTACAATCGTCAGGCCTCCGTCAGCGGAACGGAGGCTTCTGTCGGCGACTTGAGCGCTTCCACCCCTGCACTCGGCGTGCTGCCAGGCGCAGTCGGAACCAGTGCAGGTGGCACAAAGTGGGTAGGTGCCAGCTTCCAGATTGGCAAACGCTTTTGGGACATCCTCGAGGCGCGCCGTGACGATCTGCAGAGAGCCCAGCCGTGCTCGTGCAGCAAGGACGGCGCCAATGATGCAGCGGCGGACGAGACCGAGTCGCCACAGGCAGCGCAGCAGCGCAAGAAGGTCGAGGAGCACGCTGCAAAGGTGGATCATCTCAAACAGAGCCCCGATGGAGTCATCACCCTGCTCGCGCAAGAAGCGCAGGATATCTCGGATGACAAAGCTTCGGCTGTACCTGACGATCACCCACAACGCAGCTCCACGCCACCGGCACAGCGTCCGAGTCAGCCTTCCATACCTTCAGTCAAGCCGACGGCTGGCACAAAGACCCCACGCCGCAAGCTCTCCAAGGACGATTCGCTCGCATCCATCCAGTCGCTTCATCCCGACGCCGCAGCTCCGCTTGCCATCGAGGCGCGCCAGGGATGGAGCGAGATTGTATCCAAGATGTCGTCGCTCACTGAAGAAATTGGCACAGGCCTCAAGACACGCACCGCGGAACGCAGACAGGCCTCGTCCGAATCCAAGAAGGCAAAGCAAAAGGAGAAGGAGCAGTATTCGTCCGGGTCCAAGGCTATCACACAGAGTTCATCCGCCGAGAAAACCAGTGACCCCAACGTCAAGATCGTGGCGAGGTCTTCGAGCCTCGCCGATACCGACTCGTCGTCGGCTGCTTCCAAGTCGGCCTACGTATCATTGAACAATGCTTCCACTTACAACAGCAGCTATGCGCCTCGCACCTCGAGTCTCGCCACGGAAGCTTCGCCGGCCATGACGAGGAAGGAGGCATTGTCGCACCCAGCCCCACCTGCCTCGCTCGAAAAGAACGATCCGCAGCTCGTCCATCAACTCCTGCGCCGCAAGAGCGACCTTGGTGAGCGACCCGACCTCGTGCCTGATGCGGCCAGCGACCATGCCGTCGTGCTCCGACAGACGCTCACGCCGCAGCAGCTCACTCCGGGCGAAGAGCTCGCAGACCCGAGTGCCATACGCTTGACCGAGCAAGATCCGTTCCCTGTGGACGCCACCCCGAACAGCGAAGGTAGCATCCGGCGCACAGAGCCGGCCGGCAAACAGCCGCTAACCGCCGGAGCAGGCGAGTCGAGC